ATATGCCAAGAAATTTCTTAAGTTTCCCTTTATGTCCTATTTGTGAAATTGCATTAAAGGAAGACACTCCGAAATTTTCGTACAAAAACAGGTATCCGAAATGTCAATCACATGTCACGCAGATTTTTTTTCTTTCTCTGTGTAAACATGAGTTGCTTCATAATTTTGAAAAACGGAAAATGCACAATGAAACGTGATAATTCATATCACGTTGAGACTCGAAACATCTTAAAGTTAAGCCTCCAGATTCGAACATTCATTTGGACTGTAACACATTCTAACAGTTTTAATTTTATAAATATCAATCGAATATTATCATTAGTTAAAAACAATTCTTAATTATTATTACTTTTTTTAATCCATTCATGAATTAATTTACCTATGAATTAAAATACGGTATCAGACACAAAACGTACTTTCTCTGGGTAAACGTACTTTTTTTTTAAGACAGAAAAGGATTTTTGACGTGTTTGTGACATTGTTGACGCGTTTTTTTAAAATTTTTTATTAATTATAGTTTCAAACGAAATAATAATAATAATGATGAAATTGTTTAATAAATAATATTTATAGCCTGTTGTACAAAAAAAAAATAGCCATTGAAATTAATATTCTTGATATAAATTAAGATTCTTGATTCTAAGACATTGATTCTTCTTGATTCTAAGAAGAAATTGATTCATTGCATTTAGTTAATAATAGATAAAGACTAGGAAAGGTGTTGTAGTTTAGCCTCCTGATTCAATCATTGATTTGGATGCTTAGATATTTTAACAGTCTTAATTTATCGAACAAAATTTAAAAAGAAAAAATTTATATAAAAATGCTTAAAACGCTTTGTTGAAATTTTGTATACTGACTCAAACATTAATTTCGATTCTTATTATTTTAATAACCTTGATTTTATAAATATCAGTCATAAATTAATACCATCATAAATTAAAAACAATTGATTATTATTAACTTTTAATCCATTCGTTAATCAGTTTGATGCCTATGAATTAAAATACGGAATTGGGTACAAAACGTATACTTTGTCTAAGTAAACGTGTCATTTTTGAGGCAGAAAAGGATTGACGTGTTTTCTTTTTATTATTTTATAATTTCTCACTAAATATTAATAATAATAATAATAGACATGGAATTGCCTAATGAAATTTGAGGATTTATTATCCGTTGAACAAAAAAGCTATTGAGATTGATATTCCTGACTTAAACATTGATTTAGAATCTTTTGCATTTAGTTAATACTTTGAGACATCAGCCCGATCGATACTAAGAAAGCTGCTGAAGTTTATAAACACCTGATTCAAATATTGATTTTTATGCTTATACATTTTAACAGTTTTAGTTTATCTCACAAGATTCAAAAAAAAATAATTAATGAAAATACTTAATGTTTTGATAAAAATTCATAAACTGACTCAAACATTGATTTGGATTCTTATGCATTTCATTTAACTGCCTCAGTAACAAAAAATTTAGCAAAGGCAAAAGTAGTAAAAATATAAGCCTTTTAATTTTGCTTTGTATGTAATGCTGCCATCTAGTGTAGTTTAGAAGCACTAAACTTTTAACTTTATCTCACTTGTCTTTAGATGTTACGAATTAACTGAAATTAGCGAAACTTACAAATTGTGTCTATAAACATTTATAAAATAACTGTCAAAATTATAGTTAAGCGACTCTATGCAAGGAATATATAAGTGGATATACACATTATATATTCTTTGCTCTATGTACCATACTGAAATGAAAATCAGAAGCCCTTTTGTTGGGATCATTATTTGAACATGTATATAATGTGAACAAGCCGAAAAATTTTACAATTCATTGTTATTGAGATGTTTAAATTTTTTAATACTAGAATGAAAAGTAATTTCAAGGGAAAAAATTCATTTTTTCGAAAAATTTAAATTCCAAAAAATAAGTTATAGTGCAATTATGTTGCAACTACACTCATAGATGGCGACACCATAGAAAATTATTTGGTTGGTAAATTTAATGTCTATATTTATTTTTTTTTAATTTTAATATTTCACAAATTAACAAACTGAAAATTTTTATAAGTAACTGCTAAAACAAAACACATTTTTTGGGAAAAACTACCCTTGTCTCTGAAACAAAATACTCCGGTTTAAAGGACAAATTAAACAAAAAAAAAAATTCTATACTTTTTATTACGCTTTCTTAAGCGGGTATATACGTTCATCTGATAGAATATAAGAAAAGTATTATCATACATTACACCAGACATATAAAGGATTTTCTCCTTTCGAATAGAAATATTGCAGTCAAAATACATCATAGGTGGGAACACCACACCAGAGCAAAATTTAGTGTTCCTTAAAGTAATGCTCCCCCTTATTGAAATTCTCTGTTCTTAAATTGATTTGATTGGTTCCTTCATTTCGCCTTTTTTTCTGTCTCATAGAGTAATATTTTCAAATAATAATAATTCTCAATTTTGAGAGATAGTGGTTAAGAGATGATTTAGAGAGTTAGTGGTTAAGACATATCTAGATGGCCGCGGTCTTTTGTTCATTGTTTTTAAGTAATCCCTAAATAACACTGAGTAAGCAATTATTTTAAAATTTAATAGTAGTTTTTGAGTCAAATGTTTAAACTAATAGATCCAATTTATTAAATAAACAAAAATTGCTGTGATTTTTTTAAAAATAACGCTGTAACTTTCTTTTAAATAACGAAAAGTAAATATCATACCTTTCCTATGAGAAATAAAAATTTTGTCCTTAAATATATGGAGAGAGAGATATGGGAAATTTCGAAAATAGTCAAACACTTCTTTTACAGACAGCTCATTCGGCCACAGAAAAAAAATAATAAAATAATTTTAGACAAAAGAAAAAATAATTTTAGAAAAAAATTGTTCGATTTAACTATAATCGAAAAAAGTTGAATTGTAAGGTATAAAATTCTTTAAAATAATTCAATACTGAACTTTAAATGCAAGTTGCTTTTTTTCAATGAAAGGAAAATACCGTCTTTTGGCTCTATCCAAAAGACGGTAAAAAAAAACCTCATTTGTTAAATCTTTCGGAAATACAAAGCTTCAAAGTCTTAAAATTCATAACTCTGAAAATAATTTGAAATATTTAAATAGATCGAAAGTTTCTATAACTTAAGTCATAATCGTAAGTCAGATTAAGAATACGGTTAACAAAAAATTATTTCATTCAAATTAGTTTTTCCATAACTACGAAAAACCGTCATTATATACTATTTAATCACTGCGTAACTAACTAGAAATGAGACGCACATTGCATATTTTCAAACCTAATAAAGTACTGTCAGTGAAAAAAAAATTTCATAATTTCCCTGATAATAGATCTTGCTAAACTATAATTTTATATTGTTTAATCTATAAGCTTTTGAGTTACGGCAATGAAAAGTACATTTAGAGAAAAATTTTGAAACAGCAGTAGTAACTTTTAAAAAAAATTAAAAGTGTGATACATATTCATCATGTTTGAAAAGTTTTAGGTTAAATAACAGTGACTGAAAATAATTACTTATTAAATATCTAAATAATTACTTTCAGTTCTTGTTATTATTTTAAGAGACAGAAAAAAAAAGCAAAAATAACATAAATAAGCCTACAATTCAACCGTTTCTCTGGGTGAAGAGTGCGGATGCCCATATTTCGAGAATTAAAATGGATGTTTCTGAAAAAGGTACGTTTCTGTATCTAAAAGCATCGATTACACTTATTTACAAATTGAAGGTGTTCTCTGAAAATTAAAATAGCAGTTATTTACACAAAGAGATTTTTTTTAATACTGAGTGCATGTGTTCTAATTTCAATTCTTCAACAATATTTGGTAGAGAAATCACCCTGCTAAAAACTTTTCAGGTTAGTTGAAAAATTCGTAAATATTAAGAGATAATGCAGAACTACCAAAATCCTCATTTATAACTAAATTCCAATGCATCCCTACATCTATATTTAATCCATTTTTTTCACTTAAATACTTTTCAATTCAAAATTGCATAACTAATTAAAACTTGACATATAGCCACATTATCAACAGATCATTTTGATATACATGTTGCCATGGGTAAATTTAAAAAGAGATGAATTCCTAAAAACAATTTATGCCAAAAAATAATTTCAATGAAATAATGTAATTTAAAAAAGAAATTAATACAGATATTTTTTTATGAAATAAAAGGTAAATCTTAAGCAGTGGTAGCATATTTATAGTCTATGACTGAAAAGGTTCTGTAATGCTTATCACGGTCTCACTCTTTGCTTATCAGTGTAAAGGCTTATTAACCCTAGCGGAGATTGCTCAGGGGATACAGCTCCCCTCACTCTGAGGTGACTCAGGCTTAAATCTTGAGAATGGCTGGTCAATATGAATGCACACGCACCCGATATTTATTTGACCACATCAAAAACAATTAGTGCTGATGTAAAATATGTGCAGAGATACAAGGATCTTTAATTAGAATCCCCATGAAATCCGGTAAATTGTAGAGTGTTTTCTTCTCCATGAAATGCAAATGTTGGTTAGCTACATACACAAAAAAAGAGAGTTCTAAGGCTTGATCTAGAAAATCATTGTCCTCTGAGTTGGATTCAAAAATACAAGGTTAAATATTGGTAGCCGGAAATCTATTATGGATAACCAGTTTAACGTCGGTGACAATTTTTTTAAAAATAAAAAATACAATTAAAAAAAATCAAAAGTTGAGCAAAACAAAGATAAATAAAAGTCAGGTTCTCTCTGTGGCAACTATGATCAGATAATCACTGGTTTTTGGAGTTTAATACTTGGATTTTCCAAGTGAAATAATTTCTTAGGATTTTTAAAACTTAATTTTATCTTAAATATTTTTTTAATGTATCTTTGAAATGTTTTCAACCTTCGGGCATAAAAAGAAAATATTGTACTTTTAATATAGCAAAAAATTAGGGTAATTTTTTAACGAGCCACCTCTGAACTTTAGACAAATAGAAATTTTTAACACAACTATTTGCAACAATAAATCTTTATTTTTCAAAATAACACACAATTAAACATACACTAAAATTTCACAATGCTTCCATTCAAAGGGCAATAATAATCTTTGAAAATTTAAATATTCATAAAAATATCAGATTGAAAAATAATTTAAAAGAAATTAATAGAAAGATTAACTTAATACATTTACTTATTATGATGAATCACAAAAAACTTAATTTAAGGTGTATATTTATTGCAGTTCATAAAAAAATAATAATTATGTATTGAATGTTGTTTCGTAAAACCTTTTGTTAATACAAATAAACAGAACAAAATTTCAAGATAAGTGTAGTTTCTAATAACATGCTAAACTAAATTATTTATTATTATGACAAAAAATTCATAGCAATTATTTTGCACAGAATCAGAAGAGATTCATGAAAAATTAAATTTACTTTCTGTGAAATGAAACTTAAATTAATTTCTTTTAAATAGTCAGAGTACTGTATAGTATTTTATAATACATTTTATGATCATTATTTTATGATTAAGAGATACTCTTGTAATAACCTTACTCTTGTAATAACCTTAAACTGCAACAAATATAAAAATGGCAACAAGACTACGTCTTTTACATTTGAAATGAAATACCAAATTATATATAGCTATTACTATACCTAAAATCTATAAAAATTATCGAATTTAGGTGAGAAAATTTTTTTTTCTGACTTTTTGCTAGACACTTTTGAATTGGAACATAACTCAATATGACTTTTAGAACACAGATTTCATTTAAAATTTTTGTAGCTAATGAGAAAATTACAAATGCAATTACGTTATAAGTAAAGAAAAACAAAATCACATATTTGCCTTATAGACTGATATGACATGCAGAAACAAAGATTTCTTAAATGCAAGCACCAATCAAAGAAAATGTAAAAACTTTAAACTAATAAATTTTTACGAATTCAGTTAAAAACTGATAAAAAAAACATCTATAATATATAAGAATAAATGGAGAAAAAGAAATTTTAAAAAATATCACTGTATTACAATAAGTATAAAATCATTATTTTTGAGGATTTTTTAGGTTATAAATAAAATTAAGAGCCACCAGATTACAAATATCATTTCAACATAGGGAATCATATTACAATTTTTTCTTAAGAACAAAATTTCAGCAAATAAAGAATAAATACATAAATGGTGCAATACTGAACACATAAACTGAAGATCATGCAATACTGAACTAAATGAATATTTTTGGTGTAAAAAGAAATACTGAACAAAATACTTTTTTATAAGAACAGTCAAATGATATGTTCAAAAATAATGAAAAACACAATTACTGATGTGCGACAGAGACCAAGTGATTTAAAAATAAAGAGAAGAATGATAAACAATACACACACATATTTAATGTAAATTGGAAATGGAAGGAATATATGTAAATGGAATGAAAATGAAAAGAAAAATAAGTTACTCTATAATCATTTTTGAAAAAATGGAAATATACAACAAATTGGAATGAGATTCTTTGACAAAGTATGTTTTCCTAGCGATCTTTAATATAAATTTATGGCATTAAATATTCACTAATTGTGTCTGGCAAATATAGTGACTAGATGATGGTTTATTTTCCACTGGAAGTTTACATTCTCTTTTCCAATCTGTAGAAGGAAGTGAAAAAAAAAATAGAGTTAGTAGAGAATATTAAGTAACAGATATTTAGTACTATAGTACATTTACAGATTATATAAAACAATTAAATAAAAAAGAACATTATTTCCAAAGATCAAAATTAGAAAAAAAAAGTAATCAAAGGTTTATTTTAAAAAAAAAAGGTAACAAATTGCAAATTATGATCATTATTTTTTTGCAAAAACACTAGACGAGAGTAATTTTTCTTCTAGAACTGAAGCAACTTTTTTACACCACTTTACAAAAACACTAAATTGTTCACTGCCACCATCATGCAAAATTGTGAAGCTATATGAACTTTTTGGCTAACAACTGACTGTTACAGAAGTATTGATTAAAACAAATTTAATAAAACTATATTTGCGTATGAATTTCCTTTCGACGTTTTCATAGAATTAGAATATTGGAAAAATTTTTTGTGTAAAATTAGAAAAATGTTATTCTGCTACTGCTTAACAAAGATATTTTCCATTTTTTTTTACAAAAATTATTCATAATGATCCATGTCATCTATATAAAAGAATTACAATGTAAATCTTTATAACAAAAAATTTATAAATACAAAAAATATTCATAAATTTAAAAATACTATCTTGGGCATTCAAATATCTACCTTTTTTTTTCGAAATTTGGAAAGGATTTAAAGCTGTTGTTAATTTACGTCCGACTAGAGCTGCACAATGGGGTACTGGCGACGGTCTGGGAAACATCCCGCAGGATGATCCGAAGACATGCCATCACAATTTTGATCCTCTGCGGAGGGGAGCATAACACCGAAAACATAACACGATATCTTTTAAAGCATAACATCGAAATGTAATAAGATTAGCTTAAAGCTTGCATAGAGGAATAAAATTAAAAGTGGATATTAACTTAAAAGAAAATAAAAGTGCGTAATTGAGTAATGGATCAAATAAAAGAAATAGAAAGAAAAAATGAGTGATGAACAACAACACAAAGTTATCATAATATACTTGTATGATGTCTTGTTATTTTAATGAAATTTTCAATACATTACTCATTTGGTTTGGATGCATCACCTGAGACTTTATTGACCTTACTGAGATTTTCATTATGTCGCTCATAATATAAAAGGTTCTGTTTTAACAAATTTAACAAGCTTAAATTCAAATGATCAATATATTCAAAAATTCAAATGATCAATATATAAATACATAATATGATTTGAACATAAAAAAAGCTTAGTTAATTATGACTAGATTTTGCACAATAAAATTAACCTTTTTGCAATAAAACTTGAATTATACTTGACTTACCGGCAAAATACCATTCGTATGAGACCTCTTGTCTTCCTTAGGGAATCAATAACTTCAGCTGCAGGTTTACCTAGAAAGCTTTCACGGTTGGCCTAAGGATAGAAAGTAACAATAAGTAACTTCATTGGCCTAAGGAAGACTGAATTTAGAGTAAAAAATAAATATTTAAAAATCATAATATTTCAAAACATATCATTTTAAGAAAATAACAGAAAAGAGAGGAAAAGGTTTGCCCAAAAAACCTCTGACATCATGTTTCCGAGGCATTATCTATATTTTATAAACTATGATTGTACAGGATATCTTTTAAATATATTAGTCAGATTTTCACATACAAATATGCAATCAAAATTGTCTAAAGATCAAATGTTAAGTATGTTAAATGATTTGTGAGGATGGATTTTTAAGCAATGAAATCAGATACAAAAAAGCACTTTTATTTAAATATAACTTTTTTAGAAAATATGGCCACAACTTGCAGAAAATGGTCCCAATGGTTTGTCCGAAGGGGATTTGAAAATTTGGACCTCTTAATGTTTATTTTACTTTCTCTTATTTGCCATGTCTCTAGAACTAATTAACTAGTTTAAATATTTTTTTAACAATTATCAAACTAGTTTATTGAAAGCTAGTTCCACGCAGAATATCTTTTCATTATATTACATTTAATATAATGATAACCAAATTCTTTTTTTTTTTAATTTTTTTTTTTAATTTTAAGGCATATTAATTGTTAGATATTAAACTATGAAATTTTAATAAATATATCTTAGTCAGAAACTATTTCATTGATTTCATTTTAATTTTGTATTTTTCAATTAAAATAACAATTTAAAATTATATGCCTTACAATTCAAAGAAACTCTGCCCAATTTTAAATAAAATAAAAATTAATATCATAATAAATTATGTTACAAAATTTTTTTTAGCATGAAATTATCTTTAAAGGAATGAATTTTACAATAGTGCAAATTTTTTTTATTCCCATAAATGCTTCCAAAGACATGTCAAAGTATCCAAAGAGTAGTGAATCACTAAGCTTGAATTAGCATGTGAAAATCCAATCACTAGATCAAGAGTTACTAAAGTGTATCATTTTTAATTTTGAGCACTAAAAGTTTTTTTTTCCCTTTAAAGTAAATTGTCTGTGATATATTTGTTATGAAAGTTGAGGAAAGAAAAACCTAATTTGTCATGTTTAAATTACGCAAAATAAAGTAACCAATTCTACCCAGAATGTTAATAAATAGTAACACAAAAGAGAAATGTAAAGCGTTATCTACTACTCTGAAAGTAGCAAAACTTAATAGAAAAGTCTTACTTTACGTTTTTATCAACAAGTCTTAATCAAAATTTTACATCACTAGTTACATAAATCCATTTATTCCTTTATAAACCTTAAATATGTTTCGATAAGTATCATTTAATCTTTTCTGGACAGTCGTATAACAGGGTTTCTTAAGTTAATTTGCATCATGTAATTTATGTCTGACTTTAAAAGATGCAAAACCAAGCATATTTAATAAAAAGTAATTTAGACTGTGCAATGCTGGGGTTAGACATAAATAATTGGTGAGTATAAAAGATACACATAGGAAAACTCAGTGAAATTTGAGTTTAATTCAAAATTTTCAGAAATTGCACGAAGTAAATCAAGTTTTTTGTATTTTCTATACACGTGTAATAGACATTAAGAGAAAATTTTCATTCGGACTTATAAATATTTAATCAGAAATACTAAATTTTGAGGAAAATCACCAGGAAGGAAACAGATAAACCAAAGGAGGAAAAAAATAGATAATTGATACTGATTTTAATTATATCAATTAGAATTTATAGAACAAAGTCAGCTTATTATTTTTTATTCCTTTAATTATACTTATTAAAATTTACCCAACAGGTGAGCATAAAACATAAAAAAAAAATATTTAAAATTTGTTTCGAATAAATATTTATATTTCCTGTAATTGTTTTATTTCTCTGGAAGTCTAGCTAATTGTAACGATACCTAATTTTTCTTAGTCAATAATTTTAAACTCTTCTGATTTACATTTTAAAGTAATGAGTAGGTATATTATTTTTGATAGATTAATAATAGCTACATTCATATGTTTTCATTAATTACTAAACTAAACTCAGTGGCACAACAGCACATGAAGAGCCAAAGCCAACTGTGCTCATCCCAAGCAAGAGCAGATGTTCCTGTTGGGTGGTTCACTAAATATGGAACCAACAGTGTTTAGTCCCCCAAGCATGCCTGGTACTCACTCTTTTTATTGACTCAGTGAATGGACGAAAGTCTGAGCCAATCCTGCCCAGTTTGGGGACAGTACCCTGGATTTGTGGTATGAGAGCGTGAAACACTACCACTTAGCCACAGGACCAAGTTGCCTTAGATATTCAGGCATGCCAGGGCATGTAAAATTTTTGATTTTCTTATACAAATAAAATAACTTAAAATTGGAGGCACTGCTTTTGCACTTCTGTTGCTAGAGCTAACAATAAATAAATCATTATCAGTTAAAATTCTATTACAAATAGTATTAGGTTTTTAAGAATGAATATTGTACGGTTTACAATCATGAGCAAACATTTTATACAAATAATCATCACACCAAATGTAGAACTTACTTCGACAAGGCGATCACCAGCTTTAATTCTTCCATCCTTGTCAGCAAGGCTTCCAGGATGTACAGCCTTTACTTCTGGAGCATTTGGTAGAAGACTGCGGGGAGATTCTTGTGAGGAAGTAGGTGGATCAAAAAGGCTGAATCCTAGTCGTCCGTGCCAACCTCTGTCCAAATCAACATCAAATGTATTCACCTAAAAGTATAGGGAAAAGCATTATTTCAAAACTGTTATCAATTAAAAGAAATATTTCATTGACTGAATAAGTTCTGTAAGTTTCTAATGACACTTTGACAAGCCAACCTCACCAGCCATTGGCTTTTTGTGAATTCAGTCAGGAAGGTGCGCATTTTGTTAGACAAGAGACCAACACAAGAAAGAAACTACTTTGTTTTGGCTGAGAACCCCATGGACAGATGGCAGTCACACACATTTGTGAGGACACTTTAATTTAGACATAGATATAAAGGGGAAGAAAAATTTCCCCAAATCCCTGCTTAGTGACCGACCATAGTCTTAGCCAAGTAGAGGATCAAACCTTAGCTCCTCCGGATCGGAGTTCGATTCTCCCATAGAATATCCAAAGTTAATTTCATTTCATTCAGTATAAATAAAACTTAATGGAGATTATTTAGAATGTTTTACTTCACCTTCATATTCAATTAAAAAATACTAGCTGGTGACATGACATAGTTTCTGTGTAAAATGGCCAATCTTACAAAGTGTTAAGATCCTCAATGCAATGCACAAACTGTCAACACAATTGATTACAGCTACCATCTATTAGGAGCAAGATGTGAAAAAGGAAGACTCATATGTTTACATTTTAGACGATGTTTTGTATAAAATTGCAATAATGATACTATAAAATTGTTTTTGAAAAGAAACAATTTTAATTTCAGAATTTCCTCTCTATATTATTAAACAGTGAAGGACTACAAAAAAAATATTATAATGGAAAATTGCATAGATGCTAACTAAGAGGTCTTAGCTTACCTCATTTAAAGTAAAACAATCAAGGTAAACTTAATTTGTTTAATTTCGACAGCACTTAATAACTAGATAACATGATCAGTTTCCTTGACATATTTAAATTATTTTCGTGCGAAGCAAGGGGGAGATGTGGTGGGTAAATAGCTGTACAATTAATTAAAATCAATAATTAATAATTTTTTATATAATTTTAAAATTAATGTAATTTTTTAAATCAAGAATAAAATTTTCTATCACAGCAAGTGTGCAAATGGAATATTTCATTACAGGTTATGCCATTAAATGTGGCTGAGGGTATAGAATTGAAACCAGATATCTCCATGCTTCCTTTGAGGTGCATACAACCCTTATACCGCTACAATCGACAGTATAAAAATATTAATCAAAATCTTGAGCAGACTTTTTTGGAACTTTAAAATACCTCTAGATACGTTTAAAAAAGAGTAATTTTTTTTAAAGATAATTATTTTCTAGTGTTTTCTCAAGATCTTCTCCAGAGCTGCAATTCAGTTTTTGTTTAATGAGTAAGACTCCCCTCATTCCGACCAGCAGCTCTAACTATTGATACGAATTTTAGCTTGGGTGATGCCAAACTTTCTCGCAGCATAAAACTGCTTTCTGAATTTCTTAAATAGGAAAGAAGCTTTTGAACATTTTAGCTAGAAAGTAAAGGGCGAGACTGGGAAATTTATCTAGTGGCTGCTGGCTACTTTTTGCATTAAAAGAACCTTAATGATTTTGTTCTTAAATGGTGATGAAAAAATATTTTTCTTAGTTGTTTTGACTTGTTTTTCTCCTAATCAATTTTAAACTCCTGTATCAAATGAAATATAATAACCAAGTTTAGAAAACTAAACCTCTTAATTAAATACAAAATATTAAGGTTAGAATTTCTACAACTGCTGCTCTTTGTCTTTGTATTCTTTTATTGTTCATACTTTCTTTCTGCTTCATTGTTACTTGGTAGAAATCAAACATCAACCTACTCTTTGAGGAATTTCTTTTCATCAATACCAATTGTACTTCACTGCCTCAATAAAAAACAAACAAAGGTTCAACAACATCTGAGAAGATGTTGAAACAAACTGTCATTAAAAAAGAAACAGGAAAAGTCACTAAAGAAATTCAGGCAATAATAAAGAAATAATATCCTTTCATTTAAAAAAATTGAAAAAAAAATTAGGATTTAAATAATTTGATTGTGCTTAAATTTAGCCTATTTAAAGATTTCTAAAAGGAAATTCATTACCATACAGCTTGCCAAATATTTAAATTAAAAATTATCCTTTTCATGCGGCAGATGCCGGATGCATTTACAGCAGTGTTTTCACTACAGCGCGAGAATCTCGCATATTTTTTTCTTTTCTCGCATTAAAAAATAATTACCGCGAGAAATTTGCGCATTTTATAAACCAATTTCAAAATTAGCGAATTTCTCGCATTTTGAAAAAAATTTCTTATTGAGCCATTTAGAATAAAATCCGTTTCACTTTTCTTAATGGATCTCTCATTATTTTCAACATCTGCCCCATTATCTAGCTTCCTTATTTACCAGTATTGTTCAGAACCTTTAAGAACAACAGAACACCATCCCTCCCAACCATGGAACCTCTTTCAGAAATCATTTCTCTGCAAAAACGAGCTTACCGTAGGTAAGGTTTCTTCATGTAAAACGTTAAAATTTTTTGCGCATTAATGTAAGATGGACAAATACTTTGTAAGGGCAATATCTTCTACTCTGAAACGGACACATGAAAATAAAACAAATGTGGGTAGAAACGATCAAAACGAAACAAATACGCATTTGAGCAACCTAATGAGAATAGCTGATGAAAAAGTAGATGTAGAACATTTTCCATATAATGATGCAGCAAAAATATTCAATGCTTTAAAAATTAGAAGATGTTAAAAATGCATTAAAATTAAAGAAATGATTTTTTTTTCAAGTCTGTTTTTTTTTTTTTTAAATCTCACCCTGTTTTTGAGAAATTCTCATGGTGAGAAATTCTCACCCATTTTTTTTCTACGATGGAAACACTGATTTACAGGAACTAAGTAGTGGTGAGGACGGGATGTTTAATGACAAAAAGAAGGAGTGGTTAATGATGTTAATTTTTTTGGTGGCAACTTTATTTAATTTAGTAGCTATATGGTAAGTGGCAACCACTATTTTTCTCTTTTACTAGAGAACTCATAAGTAAACTTTTTAAAAAGGTATAAAAAAGAAGAAAAAAATTATAGTTTACCCATTCAGTAGCACAACTTGTAGTACGAGGAAAAGGTACAGGCTTTTCATCATCTGATGCAGAATCTTGAGAGGCTAGACTCTGTTCGTTGGATGTGGAAGATATTGAAAAATTTACTTGAGGAACAACATCAGGACTAATATCGTCCTCGGAATGAGGAAGTGTGCTACCTCTCCATTTCAACAAATTCTTAAATCCTTTCTTGGCAGGGCTCACATTGGTATTGTTTACAGTCTTTGACTTGGAGTCTACATTAGTGCACATGACGCTGCACTGCCTATGGAAGCTTTCTTCATCAGTATAAGCCGGCAAGCGCTTACGATCAGACGAATTTAGGACATCTAGAGATTTAGGCCTCAGGTTTCTTTGCAAAAAAGATTCTTCAACATTCAAATCAGTAGTTACATCAGACTTAGTACTTTCTTCAATTACCTGCTCTTGTCCACTTGAGGAACTACTGCTTGTGCTGCTACTTTCAGTTGAAGCATTACTTGGAGCATTAGAAAATCTGTCCAGTTTTCTTTTAATTTTTCTTTTACCTGCACTGCCCTCATCTCCACTTTCTTTGTGCTTCATGCGATCGTTCAAAAGCTCTACTGCTTCCCACCTGAGAGGTTTGTTTATTTGGTTATCTTTTTCAGTGTAGCCTGGGGTGATTGGAGGTTGTTCACTTCTGTAGAGTTTTAGAGTGACAGAGTTTGGTGCCTGTCGTATGAATTCAATAGCTTCAGCATGAGTCATTGTGGAAACAGTCACACCATTCACCTTTCATAGAATAAAAATTATAATTAATAATTTCAGAAGAATATTACATAAAATAGTATAGAGTGCCTTAAAAAAAGAAAAGAAACACCCTGAATAACTTATGATCTAGTCATCAAATCTTCATGTACTAGGACTCTGACTCCATCTTAATGGCGACCTCACACTAATTAATTAGGTCAGATCATATTTTTAAGTTACAAAACTAGACACGAAAACAAAATCCAGATTGCTGACCAGCAATTTGGAAAATATAGTCTCAATAATTTGATCAGGAAAGCGGTCAAAATTTGGACTTTTTAATGTAAATTTTACTTTTTGCACATTTGGCCACATCTGGAGAATCTTTTAAGAGAATCAATTTTTTTTTAACACAATTATAAAATTCCTTTATTCAAAGATAAATCTAAACAAAAAATAAGTTTTATTCATTTATATTAATAATTTTTATTATTTTCTTGAATAATAGTGAAAATTTTTTTTAATTGTAAGGTATATGCAAAATAGAAAATTCTAACCAAATCGATTGAATAGTTCCTCAGAAATGGAATTTTAAATTTAAGATTTTTTTAAAATCTGATTTCTCACAACTATTCGACATATTTACTTCAAATTTATTGTGCCTTAAAATTCAGATTTTAGATGTTATTAAATAAAATAAAAATAAATAATTATAAAAAATTATTTTTTCATGACTTTATGTTTGGATAGACAAAATTTTCTGACACATTTAAAATGTTCTTGAGGTATGGCAAAATATGCAAAAAGTAAAATTTACATTAAGGGATTCACACTTTTGACTGCTCCCATGATCAAATTATTTATACCATAATTTCGCATTGCATGCAGTTTTCTCTGTATTTTGAGGGTCAAGAATATTAAACCATCAGGGAAAAAAAGAAAGGTTTTTCAGAAAGTTTTTGTATCTGATTTTATAACATAAAATATTGTTTGTACTAATTAATTAGCATATTTGAAGAAAGAATTTCAACTATTAAGAGTGAATTCTTGTAAGTGAAAGTCTGATCATTAGATCAAAAGTTATTCAATGTATAAAATTTTATTTTGCACACTATAAAAAAAAAAATCACACTAAAAAACTACGAAAAAGGATACAGATTATATTTTTAATGTCACATAAAACTACAGTACAGGACCCGTTATCCGGAAATCAGAAAACCGGAAAACCAAAAAACCGGAACGAAAATCAATAAATTATCCCGCAATTTTTAAAACAATTTTTTTTTTCCTCATAAGATTTTAGGATTTTTCCTTCTTCTTTGAAAGATGTTTACCTTACCATCATTTTGGAAATAATCATTAGTGTATTACTTCATCGTTTTTTCTTCTTTTTAAGATTATTTCCCAATATTTCTTTTTTTTTAGTTGGGTTTAACAATAAAAAAAACGGCTTTTTGTAGCGATTCAGAAAACCGGAAAAATCCGTTATCCGGAATAGCGATGGTCCCGATCGTTCCGGATAATCGGTTCCTTACTGTACAATCAAAGTGTCACACAGTTTGTTTGTATGCAATTTTTTTAATCCATTTAATAGATAAATATAAATTAAACCTTTCTTACAGTTCAATATGAAAATGGAAGACTTATTCTACAAAAAGATATCATATTCAGATATTTCAAAAATATGCCTAAATCAGGCATTGTTGAGTGATCAACGCTATATAGATCTATTATGGGTTTAAAAAAATACATTGCTAATTTTCCCCCCAATAGATTTAAATTTTCATTATATATTTATATAAGGTACATTAAACTAGGATTGCAGGAGGATTTGTTAGTAATTCTTTTTGCCAAACTAATTTTAAATTTCTTAACATTGGTGAATTCTAAGTTTATTTTTCACAAATGTTTTAGGTTCTTTTAATTTTACTCTATTAAGTTTCCTAACTTTTTATATGAATTTACTTTGGTAACATTACATTTTACACTTTGAATTTAAATTCTGAATGGAATAGTTACTTGCAATTGATAAGATATATTTTCCCACTTCAACTTTGACAAAAAGTTCATGAAGTTCTTTTATTCTTTGAAAGAACAATATAAGACTTAACAATAGAACATAAGTAAAAAAAAAATTATTGAACAACGTGACTGACTACCTTAAAACATTTGGCAAAATATGTTGCATTTTTTGATTTGACAATACAATTCTACTATTAAATTAGTTCTCATATATACAGTAAATATAAAATCGTAAACAATCTGAAGTGAAGTATTAACTTACTAGTTAAAGACTGAATTAAATAGAACTAACAAAAGTAAAAATGGTGTATTGGAAGTAAATTTAATTACTTTTAAATATTATGAGGAATGAAACTAAACATTAATTATCAGGTTAATTAAATTAATATAATAATTCACAATTTTACTATTAAGTTTATAATTGTAATCAAAAACAACACTGGTTTTGTAAGAAAACAGTTTTTATGATAAAATTGATCGTTAAAATTGAATTGATCCTAAAAAAATTCAGATTACAAAAATTGCCTTAATGCAATACCTTTTAATAACAAGTTCCATGAAAAATTGAAAAGACATACTTGTATAATCTTGTCTCCAGGTTGAATTCTACCATCGGAAATCGCTGGTTCACGAATCAATGCCTTCACAAAAATTCCTTCATCCGGGAGATCAGGTAAACTGTCTTTCTTAGAGATACTGAAGCCCAAGCTTCCACCCCTTTTGATAAGAGTAACCTCAAACTCCTACAAAATAGTTTAAAATTAGCATTTATCTCTTAAAAATTTAATTTGTAACTGGATGCTTAAAAAAAACAGGCCCCTCTTTTATTTTTTAAATCTTTTAACTCATAAATAAAATACAGAGACTTTGTAAGTAATCATAACATTTAAAACTTATCTCACTATCTGTCCCAAATCAATAATTATACTACGTATCTAAAAATAAAAAGTAATCCAGCATACAACATACAGTTTTTAAAACAATAATAATAATAATAATAAAAAAATTGCAGCATTATATTATTTGTAAATTAATTTTGTAAATTGCGCTACTTTTAAAAAAACAAACCATGAAAATAAATAATTGCAAAAACAACAAATAAAAGTGGGTACAGTATGGAGCTTTGTAGAATTTTATTAATTAAAATTTACTCATCATTAAATGTCTTGTTTAGATTATTTACATAGAATTACAATTAACTATTTTATAGTATTAACATGGCTTTCCGAATTGCTCTGAAATACTTATTGATTTTTGAGAATGAATAACATAGTCTTTTTATTCAAGGTCGCAAGTTCCTCAAATTCCCATTGGACACTGGAGGAAATAATCCAATGTCAACATTATCTACGTGAAATGTCTTTAAAAACGATTTATTTAATTAAAGTTTGTAAACTCTAAGTTTATTTAAAAACAGTTTTGCCAAAACACATTAAAGTGAGTGTTTTACGTAATTAGGTGTTTTTTGTTTCTAAGTAGATTTCTTTAGAAAATCTGCTTGGGTTTTTATGAGTAAAGCTTGCTTTTAAATTTTTCTATTTTTTAAAACATTTAGAGTATGAAAAATATTTAAAAAAAAATATAAAAGTAGAAACTTACACCTGTCTCCACATTATAAGAATTTTCAGTCCTGGATAAAGAACTGCTAGCTGAACTAGATGATGAATCACAGAAAGGCCACATACCATCCTACAAAAAAAATATCATTCAATATAAAACTAATAAAATAAAAAAAATAAATAAAAATAAAAAAAATTACTTTAAATGAAGAAAAGCATGGAATCAATGATTTAGAAGGTCGAAAAACTTCCAAAACTACATCAGCAGGAGTAGTTCTTAAAACTTCTAAAGCTTCCTAAAATGTAAAAATAAAAGAAATGTTTTTTTACAACAATAAGTATGGTAAGTTATATGTCAAAATATTACTCAATCTAGAGCTAAATTAATAAAAAAATTTTTTTCACACAAAATAAAGTTCTATAAATTTACAGATTACAGATTATTTTAGAAAAAAAAATTAAGACTATACTTGTAGTATAATCTAAGAACTGATAGCATTTACTGGTTAAAAGATATGCAGTTAGTTAGAAGAAACACTCAAATTTCTATTTGAACGTAAAAAAATCAAAACATTTTAATTTATTTTTTAGTCAGTTTTGAACAAATGAAATATGTTTGGGTTTACAATTACCATTAGCCTTTAAACTATGTATATTCAACTCAGTAGCCTTTTAATTATAAAAAACTAAAACTAAACTCAGCGGCGCGACAGCCCATAGAGGGCCAAGGCCTACTGTGCCCATCTCAGTTTTCTTGACCTTGGGCTCTAGGGTGCATAATTATAAACTTAACAAAAAAAAAATAGTTAAGAAATTTCAACTAATTAATATTCATCAATTAACATTCATAATTTAAAAGTATTTAGTGTTTTTAATCTTAAAGGCTTGAAGAAAACATTTTTTCTCTTAGTAGTGTTTTTATTATAAAAATAATTGAAGATCAACAGTTTACTCACATTTATCACAAAAATAACAATTGGATTGCTACCTGTAGCACTTAGGTGATAACTAACTTTTGACAAATCAAAAACATGGAAAATCAGTTCTTCCCGAGAGTTATTACACAATGAAGTTGAGTCTTACTGGGGCAAAATGGCTTCTGTTTTTTTCCTTAGAATAAGCTTTTATGGGTAAAAGCCATTCTTCCCCTTGATCTTCAATTGTTTTCGAATAAATGGCTGATTAACAAGATAAGTTTTAGATAAATAAAAATAACTGGTTCTCAAGCACATTTAAAAGTTATACAAGAATACTTTAAATGGCAAAACATAAATAATAAAACAAAATCTTGTCATTATATTAGCAACACTTACGGTATTAGTCAATCCAACCATATTTGTTCCATTCACACTTAAAATAACATCTCCCAGTTGTAGTTTGCCACATTCTAAAGCTGGTTGCAGAGGATAAAGCTTACGAATACGAATCAACTGTGAAAATGTATCTCTTCCCTGTATTCCAGTCCCACCACAAATACTCAATCCAAGACCTCGGCTGCTCTTGTGAATTGATACTTCAAAAGTGTTTTCTGCAACAAAAATCATGTCTTTATTTCTCAAAAATAAAAATTAGTATAGTCAGTGAGGAAAAAAGAATAGCACCCTGAATAACCTTTGTTCTATGTATCAGTGTTTCACATAGTAAGAGAATCTTCAAGGTTCAAATGGTTGATCTCAAATACAATAATTAATTAGTGCTAACCAATAATTAAGTTATAAAATCCTATAAAAAAAAAACTTTTTCTGAATAAGCTATTGTGAACTATTTTTGAAAGATTTGTATCTAACAAAATATTAGGTTAGCCACAATATGGTCCTAATAGACACCAGTTGTTATGACAATACAAAGTTCAAAGACTATCTTAAAGTTATTTTCACTTTTTGCCTCTTTCGCCATACTTCAGAAACTTCTTAAGTGAATTGAAAACTTTTTGTGCACTTGAATAACTTGCTGGTCAAAAAGATGCAAAATGCAATTTTTCTTCATAATTATTTTTTCTTATTGTTTTATTCAATGATTGTCCCAAAAAATATTAAATTATGAAGTATACACAAATTTTTAGATCATTTTAAAGAATTTAATAAACACTAACACAAAATACTAAGTTTAAGCAAAATCAGTCAAATAATCACTGAGTATGCACACATTATAGTTACAAATTTTTATTTAAAGAAAGTACACATTAGTGCCCAATTTCCCAACTTAATTAATGATAAGTGATAATTAATTAAAATTTTTCAAGCCATTCAAACCATTAAGATTGGACAAACCATTAAGATTACTGAAAAGTTATTTAGGGTCATATATATGCTATCTGCACATATACATTTGAACAATTTATTAACATATAGAAGAAAAGTCAAACTAAATTTATAAAAATTGCAAAGACTATAAAATTGTGAAAACTATAGAATTGTGATTTAGAAGATTTTTTTAGATCAATTAAAACATTTAGCCCACTTTTACTCACAGTAAAAATCACCCTTTTTTTATGAATCTGTAATCAAACTGCAATAATGAAAACAAAACAGGCAATACTTTAACAACAATAACCTATCTAATAGATTGTCATAGTAAGTTATCTAAATTCAAAATAATAGAGTATTTTTGGTCTGGAATAAAAACTTGAACTATGCCACACTGATTTAGGACAGCAATTTCTAAAAATTGTATACTACAAATTTAATGGCTAGAAATCTTTTGTATATTGTGTGTGTGTTGCTTGCAAAATCCACAGCACATTATTTCATATGAACAATAAAAACACATGTTGTTCAATATGTCACAATTAAAAACAAGTAAACTTGCTTTCTATGACTGCCCATTTAGTTTAGTTTCATTGAGGAATAGAAATTATATAACATGAATTTATATCTCTGAAGAATTAATAACTGATATAATTACATTGTCTTGTCAGAGCAGAATTTACTAAAATTTCCATAGCACACTCTTTGATATGTACAGCAAAAACATAAGCTGTGTTTTATAAGGCACATTCTGTCACAATTCACAACGCATTATTAAAATGCTGCTATTACCTGCTTTCTATGACTCTAGATTTAGTACCAAACTGTAGATTTAAAACCATACTGTAGTTTTTGTACCAAAATCAAAATTTATAACAACGAAGAATAATTTAGAATAACTACTTTTGGAATCTATTAATAAATACAAAGCAGATTGCTTTAGATGTACGGCAATAAGAAGTTGTGTTCTATGAAGCACAATCCATTGGAATTTTAAAATAATTAAGCTGAAACTATTAAGTGCACCTGATACTAGTACATGATTTCAATTTATCATATTCAGTTACTATATATTAGCTATAGTAATTGAGTATACAAATTAACTAACATTTCACAAAAAAAATAGAAACAAAATAAGTACAATCGCTAATATACCTGGATTACTGTAATCATAAATATCTTGAAGTTTCTTCAATTTTTTCTTTCTAATTGGCACAGAGGGAACTGGATGTACATTACTTGAAGATCCTAGAAATAAAAAGAAACAAGTTAGAACAAGGATTTAAAAAAGATACCTTGCATATTTTAAATAATAATTTATAAAAAATTAAGAGCAACAAGAATGAATACTAAAAATTCAATTTAATAAAGTATACAAAAGATTGTTTTGAATATTTAAAGGCATTAAAAGTGTAATGGCACGATGACCTGTTTCCAGCTATAGACAAATTATATAAAGAATTAAACTAAAAACAAAATAATAAATTACTAGAACTTAACAAAAGTACCATTCATTTTAAGGGAGATTAAATTGTAAAAAAAAAGCAAGTCTATAAAAGTGAGAAAATTTTAATTGTCTAAATGTAAAAAAAATGCTATTTTCTATTACAAAAATTTTGTTTTCCAAAAAATGGTCCAAGACTCCTAGAAATTTTGAATTTTTCAAATTTCTAAATAGAATTATTATTCCAAACATTAAAAAAGCAGAGCTAGAAACAAACAGCAGTCCTAAACAAGTAAAATTAAATTCTAACCACAATTAAATAATTATCAATGGTACCTAGATCAGTAATTAATAACAGTCAAGTGAATGCAAGAAGATTTCTTCCTGATTTGGTTTTTCATTTTTTGGTTTGGTGTTAGGCTATGTTCTGTCACAAAGTAGCACACTTCACTAGTAAAGTGAATGTTATGCATTCTTGATCCATTTTTCTCAAATGTCACTTTAATAATATTTTTTTAAAACTTTTAATTCGAATGATCTACATACAATAAATGCATAAGACAAGATTCAATCTTATAGTAATGAAATTTTAATTTATATAAAGCTTCATTTACACATTTTCAATTTGTTTACACAAATTTAAATAGTATAAATGTAAAATTTTCTTTGTTTCATAAATTTTTAAAAATGTCTTATTAAAATTTTAGGGTCATGTGAATAGATCAGTAAAAAACTTGTACAAACTTGTGAAATCTTATAAATACTAAGTCTTAAATCTCTGTAAAAGTATGTATACTTAAATCTCTGTAAAAGTTTTTAGAAAGTGAAAAATCTTTTATAAATTCGAATAAAAAAAAGACAACTAATTGTAATTACCTTTTCTAAAAGAATATTTTTTATAGATATCACTCAATGCTTGATGTGGATTTAAAAAGTGAATAGGAGGTGTGACCAAATTTTCAGAACTCCTATTCCGATAAAGAGATCTATTAAATTCATTTCTAATATCTTCTTCATCAGAATTATCAACAAGGTTAGGAGTGCTGTTATAAGATGTCAGCTTAGATAGCAACTTTTTAGAACTATTGCCTTTGATATGATCTAGACTAGATTTACAACCTTTAATGACAGAAGACAATTTAGGCGAAACACTAGGGGGAGTAACATGTTCTATGCTCTGTACTACGGAACAGTTATCTTTGGCACCGTAAAACACTGAATTAAGTTCTGTAGGTAAAGAGGAACAGGACAATCCATCAATATCACTGTCTTTATGTGATTTAGATAATGTACTTGCATCTGCTGAATTAGCATTCTGTTCTTTACTTTGAGATGCAAATACTGAACGTTTTGTAGTAGCACTGTTTTGTTGAATATTCTCTGAATTGACGGGTTGTTCACTAATATTCTTTGAGTTATTTTGAATGTGATCAGTTTCTGGAAAATTCCCTTTTTCTAAGACAAGAAGGGCAACTTGTGGACTTTCTCTTAATTTTGTAACAACTTCTTCATATGAAAGATTTTCCAGAAGTACTCCATTCACTTCAATAAGCTTATCACCTGAAAAAATCGGATATTGTTAAACTCTATGCATTATTTCATAAAATTTATAATAATGAAATATAAGCAAAGATTAAACAAATAACTTGGAAAATATAAATTTAAACTTTTAATAAAAGCTGAGGCTAAGCCGAAGCTTAATTTTTTTCTTCTTTCTGCCATTTAAATTGTTGTAAATAAAAATTTTCAGGGTTCCCACTCAATTTCAGAAAAAAAATTCCCTGACATTTCCAGGTACAGCAGGTAAATTTCAATGAAAATTGAGACCATATTTTCATCAGAAAACTTTGATTCTTTTCCTTGTAATGTGATATCATTAAATGAGGATAAAAACATTTCAGTTATACTAAAATGTGAACATTTTACAATAAATAAATGTAATAGATGTTAGAATTATTAACTCTAATCTCAATAACTGATTACTGTTCCGGACAATTTTAAGACTGGTTATTTTCCAGGTATGATATAGGAATATTCCAGATTTTTGTAAAACAATTGATTTTGTAAAATCCCTGACTTTTCCCTGATTTTCTGTGTTAAAATAAAATTCCTTGACAATTCCAGGTTTTCCCTGACCTATGGGAACCTGAATTTTTTTGACATTACTTATTTATGCCTTATTAAAAAATTAAGTTACGCAACTTAGCAAGAAAAACATATAAGCTCCGTTTTGTTTAATATATGATTATATATAACAAAAGAAAGACTATAAGTTACATAAAAAAATTCAGACACAAAATTATACATAATAAATAAAAATTTACTTGAAATATACATTTACCTCGCTTTATTCTACCATCTAGATCAGCCGCACCTTGAGGAATGACCGAATGAATAAAGATGTGTCTTTGCTCAGAGATAGCTCCTTGCTCAGTTCCTTGCTAAAAAATCGTTAAGTAATTATTAATACATAAATACTAATATTTTTAAAAATAAATAATAATTAGGAAATTACTTTCCAACATTACACAGTTTTTTAATGCAGTTTCAAATAAAGATAAATCAAATAATTTAGAACTACCAAATAGAAATCTAAACTTGTAACAATTTAAATAAATTTTGTAACACTTCCAGGAGGTTCTGCTCTCCAACCCTCGTAATTTCTTCACATTCATCATTGTTTCTTTCTTCTTAAACGTAAATATTTCCCACAAGAAAGCTGAAATTTTGTTCATGTTTTAATTGTAATGAAATATAAGATTTCCTAGATTTTAAAAAATTATCATCTGTACTTACATAAACCTAAGGAATACAGATTGTGAGACTCAATAAAAGTAATTTTACACATTGAAGACATTTATAATAGTTCAAAACGGGGTCGTTTTTTATTGTTATTTATTAAAAAACAGAATAAAATCCCAAAAAAAAGCACTTAAATTTGCAACAACTTTAAAAAAAATAGGAAGTTGGAAGAAATCTGTCTTTAAAATAATAAAAAATGGTCCAATCAGTAAATTAAATTTCAACTATGTAGTTACATTTTAGCGGACAGTAAATCGATAAACATGTTTTGTACTTTTCTCAGTTTTTAGATTTTTTAAAGTATAAAATTTTATTACAGTTTAAACTGCTGAAAACCTATTTGGATGATGCTGAAAAATTCTTTTAACGTTAATTGCACAAAAACAAAGATACTTATCAAACATTTAAAACGAAGCAAAAGTATATACTATTTAACTATTACCTAACAAAAACTGTTGATTGCAAAATTGTACTGGCATAATTCTGACACGAAGAATTAATATAGAACCTAAATAACTGCACGATTTATACCTCAAATTATGATTAGGTGGCAGCATGGCATTTTACATGCATCGGAAGATATTGCTAAGTAGAGTAAATATCCCTATATAGTTTATTTGTGAAAATTAAATAAAAGTGATTAAAAGCAAATCTGGAATTTTCCCCTTCCCTGTCTCCACCCCTACGACTATTGAGTTAAGAAGCATATTCCTTGTTGTTCAGTGTTAGTTTTGCTATAAAAATTATTTAAGTTGTTTTGAACGATTTGATTTGTTACCAGAAAATAAAAAATTATCTGAACTTATAAATTTTAAAAAAAAATCTTACATAAATGTTTAAGCCCAAAGAGCCATTTTTTTTGTCCAACACAACATGAAACACTTCACCAGGTAAGAGGAAGTTGTCGTCCACATTTTCAGACAGCTCAGAGTAGAGCTCACTTTCCGAAATATCTTCCTTGCTGAGATTTGAAGACACAGGCTCAGATTCATATTTCAGTTGGGAAGCTATTATGTCCGGAATGTTGTCCCGTGGACGATGCCCATTCAATCCATTGTTGGTCTCTTCTTTCCAGGAATGGTCACTGATGAGCTTTGTGGCATGGTTTAGAGTCAAATCAGGAACATCAAAGTTGACTGGCTTATTTTGATCCACCCACTTCTTTCGAGGTTGAGGAATCGGCATGTTTTCAGATTTAACTGAAATAGAAAATATGAAATTAAATGATTTTGCTTAAAATTTCTTTCAGTTTTGTTATTATACAGGGCAAATTTAAAGTCAAAGACAATGAATACTAAAGTTTAATGGTCTATAAAAATACCAGCTTGAGAATTAATATAATATAAAGTATAAGATTATATAAAGTATAAGATTATATAAAGTATAAGAGTAGCTGAAATGTTAGCTTTTTTATTTTTATAAGGCAAACTTTAGATGCTATAGTGAATGTTTAAAATGTCAAAAGGTGTTCATTTCACTAGATCCTGAAAGAGAAACAATTGGCAAAAGCAAAACGTGAATAAAGCGCAAAAGTACATTCTATACTTTTATTTGTGCTTCATTCATGCTGTTTTGCTTTATATATAAATACTGCAAAGTATACCCTTTTGCTTACTAGAACAAATATTAAGGGTTGAACCAAATGTTCAAAATGTAATTTTTCTCTTTCAAATTGGAAATGCAACTTTCTCTACATTCTAATGCTATTTTTGTGCTTTTCAGGGACAAAATCATGAACTTCTTTTGGTTTTCTCTTCTCCAATACAGGTCTCGATGACTTTTTCTTGTCGGGTATTTATAGAATTGTCTTGAAATGGAGATTTAATTAAGTCACCATTGAGGTATCAGGTATTGTTATGTCAGGAGATTTCTTACAAAACATTTCAATGCCGTGAGAACAAGACAAAACAAAAAATAACCCTTAAAACTTGAATATTTGAGCATAACATCCTCTTGAACAACAAAATGGGTCAAAAACTAGTTTTTGATTACAAGATCACCGATGCCAGTTAATATACATTTGAAACTGTTTGCATTGTGAACTGAAGGGAGGTGTGGAATTTTAAAAAGTTTTTGTTTAATTATGGACCATTCAACCTAAATGTACATGGCTTTTAACACACCCTGTATAAATATGAAGAAGGAATCATAAAGAAAATATAATTTTTAAGATTAACCAACTAAATAAATATCAAACTCAGCAACGAAACATTTAAAAATGCTTAAAAAAAGTTAAATAAAAATTTTGTAAGGCTTACTAGACTAAAAGTAAGACTTCATTGAAATTATACTCAGAAACTATTTGAGTGATTCTGCTCAAATTTTCGATTTTGACAGTTACAATTACTCAGTTTCAAATGAAGTTGGAATTTGTACAGCTTACAGCTCAAAAGTATTTCAGTCCTTAATAAAATAATAATAAAAAAATAACAAATTGTATAAAAATCTTTTATTTTGAATAAAATTATCTATAGGCAGACCAGTTTTAATTACTTGTAAAAATGTCTTTATTCAGTTTCATTTCTAACAATATGGTAAAATGCATCAAGAAGTATTAGTAGCATTAAGGAAACAAAACATTTGACTGCTCACTTTCCTGACCAGGATCATATTTTGACGATTGCTACTACCACTTCTAACATTTTGAAGGTAAAAAATTGGAATGAATTGGAAAGCGTTACTACAGCCATAAGCTACTGTTCATTAGATTAATTGTTGTTCAAATGCTCTGTTTCTTATTATCATTATTTTACACTCTGCAAATATCTAAAAATCAGTGATATCAATAAGAATTTTTTTTTTGTTTCTTGCTATTTTATCATTTTACATTGATTTAAAATTTTGATGAAAACTGAACACTTTCCTTGCATATGAATATTTTAAAACTTGTATGTTGTTTGTAAATTTCAAAAGCAATTGATATTTCAGATTGTAATTCTAGTCTAATTATAAGGGATTACCATACATCTAGGAGAATAAGTGGACCCTTATTTCTGATTATGAGATAGCTAATTTCTGATATGTCTGGTGTATAAGTCTATCTCTAAATAACGCATAAGAAGTAAAAAACCATACAAAATTAAATCTAAAATATTAAAGTAAAAAATATTGTTCTCTTTGGAAATCTTTTAAAAAGTGTGTATTTTGAATTCTTCGGATGACAGTAAAGACAATTTTTTGAAGGACTCAGTGGATAAGGAAAAAGTAGAATCCACCAGAGAGAGGAATCTGTATGGCAACATTGCTAACGTTATTAAATCTAACAAATATATTCTGGAAACTTTAAATTCGTAGTTTTACGATACATTTTAAAATTGTCAATTAATTGTTTTAAAATTTTTATTTGAAATAATTTTGAATAAATTATCTCAACTTCTTTATCTAAATTTTTCTTTCTGGGTAAAGTGGTATGAATCACTAGGTGCTATGTTTATAAAAACAATTCAGAGCTGAATGGAATGGATCGATGAAACAATGGATTAAATTAATTAAAAAATTACATATATTATGAATTTATAAGAGATTTGTCAGTTTTACAGAAATGCCAGCTGCTCTACTTTTCAGTAAATTATTTTATAATTGAGAATTAAGAAGTAAAGACTGGGTTAAGATTCGGGTTTGCCAACACATTAAGAGACTAACCTCGTAATAACCAGCACTAAGTTATGCTTCATATGAAATATTTTATTATTTATGAGAAATGGTACACACAACAAATTAAAATCAAATTTACTAAACACAGAATTATACAACTAAATAAAAATATTTTTATTACCACGGAAAAAAAAAATCCTCATAAAAGGGAAAATAATTATTTTATAATTGTAGAGTAGAGAATTAAGAATTAAAGATTGAATTATTTAAGTTAAGCTTGACAACATTTTAAGAAACTAACCACAAAATAGCTAGAACAAAGTCAGATTTTATATGAATTTTTTAATTATTTATGAAAAGTAGTATGCAACTAACTTAAAATCAACCCGAGAATCATATATAGAAACATATTTTGATTACCACTAGCATAAAGCTTTGTTGTTGTTGTTGTTAATTTACGTCGCACTAGAGCTGCACAATGGGCTATTGGCGACGGTCTGGGAAGCATCCCGGAGGATGATCCTAAGACATGCCATCACAATTTTAATCCTCTGCGGAGGGGGTGGCACCCCCGCTTCGGTAGCTCGACGACCTGCATGCGGAGTCGAGCACTTTACGGTAGCACAGTTTAACGAGGACCAATACCGCACACCCTCGGTCCCTACGCGAAATGATCCAAGTGGTCACCCACCCGCACACTGACCGTAGCCAGTGATGCTTGACTTCGGTGATCTGCAGGGAACCGTGTCTTAACGATCAGTCCACTGCGGGACCTAGCATAAAGCAGAGCAAATGAGAATCTCTTCTACATTTCCTAAATAATAATATAATAATAAAGAAATAAATAATAATAATTATTTAAAAATAAATCTTACAGTCAGAACTTTCTATAGCTGTGGATATGACTTTTTCTTCATCCCCACAAATCCAAGCTTTTGCTTTTGTAAAAGGCTTCTGTAATTATAAATAATATCAGATCCTTAATTATGATTTTACAAATAATATTAAAAAGCAGTTATAAGACAGGGATTCCTACTTGCAGAAAAATGCACTGTAAAACTTTATTAAAATGCGTAATATTATGTAATAACTGAATTTGATCCTCAACAATTTTTAAGTAACTGTCTTATACTATTTTGTGTGTATATTTCAAAAAGTAATTTTCACTCATTATCTAAATAAGAGAAAAATTTATAGTTTATGAATAATAATTAACGGCATGCTAAGAGACTATCACTGAGCATACAGTTTTTCTATAATTTATACTGAAAATTATTAGAAAATAAACAGTTAAAGATTCATTGTATTTTTTAAATAAATACTTTTAAAAAAATTAAAATCACTTAAAAATAAGCATAATCAAGTAAATATTTATAATAGTAATGAGAATTAAACCTATTAACACAGATAATTTTCGATTGTAATTAATATTTTAACAGTTAATTTTTCAGAATAAAAAGACAGTGTTTTTAAGGGATGGTGGCTTATTTTTGCAAATAGGGTGCATTTATAGGAATCAAGGGGCAGGTAGAGTAGGCCACTTTCCAAAAAACGCTTAGGGAGGGGAAAAAAAAACAACTTAATATTAAGTGGAAAGACAAGTTAAAAAAAATAACTGAAATAAGAAGTTCTCTAAACAACTATTATAGAAATAAAACTTTGACAAGGAATGTTTACAGAACTACTTTGTTGACTAACCAACAAGTTAGCCCCCATTTATCCAATGGGTGCATAGCATAAATTCCATGTTAGAATGCATAGCGCTCAATTGATTGAGGCTTAGACAAAATTGTTTAGTTGTCCCGTTTTGCTAAAAATAAAGATCAGAATCGATACAGTTAATTCTTTACAAAAAAAAATTATAAAGGTTAAAGAGCTGTTGTTATACACTTCATTATAAAATGTGTAATTTCATAATATAAATGCCTAACATTTTGTAGGGCTGAATAAATTTTAATCTTATAAACAGCTGAGCTACTAAAGCTGCTGACATACAAAGTGGTAGTTTTCTAAATAATAACAAAGAAAAATGTAATTGTTGTAAGGTAAAATAACTATCTCTTCTCCATGAACAAACTAGTAAATATTATAATTAACTCTTATATTTACAGTAAATATAAAATAGCAAACAATCTGAAGTAAAGCATTAACTTATACTAGTTAAATACTGAATTAAAAAGAATTATCAAAAGCAAAACTGGTGTATTGTAAGTGAATTTGATTATTTACAATTTAAATACTTAACATTATTAAATTAACAGGTAAATTAAGTTAATAATTAAAAACATAAGTACAGTAAAATTTTATAAAAAAAACTTAATATTTTACAAAAATTAGAAATTTTATACAGTATTTTTGTTTACATACCAAGGATCAAAACATATTTTCTTTTATATTGTGAATTAAGTAGTCTTAACCACATTATTAAATATTTAAAAAAAATTACATATTTTCAAATGAATACAAAATATCAACATTAAATTTATTACCTCAATCACTTCTTTCTCAATGAAATTTGGAATGCCGTTAACTTTATTCGCCTTTGCAACAACAAGTTCAACAGGATTAGCAGAGTGTTGCAAAAGATCAACCACAGTCATGAAATTGTCATGTTGAACATCTGTTCCATTCACAAACATAATTTGGTCACCTAATGGTAAATAAAATTCATCATTTAGCATTTTATTCATCACCAACATTCATCTATGAAAAGGTACCCCAACATAGAATTGAGTTAACAAGTCTTATATACTAGTAAATTGGAAGTGAATAATTGCAGCGGTGGACACTCTACAGTACTCCCCCACCAGAATTATATCTGTGATACAATTTGATGAACGGATACCACTAGTTGATTCATGGCTGTTTTGTGAGAAGTCCGGAGAGCTGTATTAAGATCACTGTACTTTTAAATGCTGATCCTGAGAACTGTATGTGGATAATGTCAATGTTACAGTCACAAGTCAATTGTTCAATGGGGACCATTGAGCAATTGACTATCCATTGTTGTAGGCGTATTCAAATTGAAGAGGGAGATTCTGTCAAGGTAGGCATCACGTCTGAAGGTCACCAATGTGGGGAGATTAGATATTGACAATGTCAACCTTCTATGAAAAGATACCTCAACATAGAATCGAGTTAATATGTCTTAAATACTAGTAAATTGGAATTTGATAATTGTAGTGATAGACACGCTACAATCTATAAGAAATAAATGAACATATAGTCTTACCAGGACTGATATTGCCGTCTTGATCAGCAGGGCTACCAGGGTGTACAGATTCTACAAAAGCACCGTGCAAGACTGTCTCATAGGTATTTCCACACGTTATAACCATACCAAAACCATATTTGCTATCCTTCTGCAGTTTCACTAATTTCATGCTACGTTTTTCACATGTGGTTCTCGGTATTGTGTGAGGAATTTTAGTTCGCAGTTCTGGAAGAACAAAAATAAGAATATAATTTCATATATATTTTTTTATTTCTAATAAAATACAGAAAATTTTGTAATGGTGAAAATGGGTACATCAAAATCTAAAATTATGAAGAAAAAAAAAGTTCTTTAAGAAATTTCTTTAAAAGCAGTTTCCTGCTGTTTTTTTAAAAAAAAAAACTGCCCAAGAAAGAGGTGAATTAAGTTTTATTTTGCATAACATTTTAAAGTGAGACAGGACAATTTTTGGGGCAAATTGTTTTTAATTATTAAATCAAAGATTATAGAATAATTATTTAATTATAGAATAATTATTTAAATCAGGGGTTCGTAAAGCGTGAAGAATCTGCAACTTAAAAATTGACATTATTGATTTGAGAAGCAATGCAATAAAACAGCAAGCATCATTGCACTTAATTCACTATACCTTCGATTACCGTAATTTCTCAATGTATGTTTAATATTACTTATGCTTAGAATATTATAAGTAATTTAAAATAAATAACTTGATTGGATTTTAAGTATGAGTTCAATTAAATATGTTTATATCCTCAGCACATAGTGTTATCTAACACATGCAAAACATATTAAATAAAATAATAAACATATCAAAAACAAATATATAGGACTGGGGTGTCTTAAAGTTATTTTAATTTTGTAAGGGTGGCACATCTTGAAAATGCTTGGAAACTTCTGAAATAAATATTTTATTTCAGATATAATAAATAANTATATATTTTATTCTGAAATAAATAATTTATTTTTGGAATAGTTTTTCACTAAAATGAGCTAATTTCACTAAAATGACAGCGTGCAGCAATTTCTCATCAAGCGTCAAGAATTAAGAATAGATATTTTCTTATCATAAGGGAGAACGGAAGGGGGGGGGTGAAAGAAAAAGACATAAGATCGAGAAATAAATGTGAAAAATTAATGACCAAAACATCTACTTTTATTGGGCAGAAATTCGTGATTATATGAAAGAGCGTGAGAGATAAAAACACACGCAATTCCTGCAAAACAATTGGATAAGAACGAAAATAAACAAGAATTTAAAAAAGAAAAACAATTCGAAGCTCCACGGCTTTGCATCTCTCGCACGAAAAGACAGTAGAAAAAGAAAGAAATAAAAAAAAAACTTTGCTCAGAAGGAAAGTCCATAGGACCATGACCTTGGACCAGCCGAGATCGCCAAATCAACAAAGCGTAGACCAAAGGCCAAGGTTAAATTACTTTCGTATTTTTTAAGTTGGTTTGGAAGTTAACAATTAAAATAATCAGAAATTTATTAAATTTATTCAAATGGTTGGAGATAAATAGTGAATTGCATTTTACCTGATATTAAAAAAATTTAAGATTTAAAAATACGTTCGAAAAAATCCTATCCAAAGAAATTTATCTTCGTCGGCGAGCCCGATTTATTTTTAGACATTAAAAAAATCTCAGACTTTTTCAGGTTTTGAAGATCAGAAATTTAAACCAAAATTTAAAGTGATTTATCGGCTGCAAGATCAGAAACCCTCTTTGTAAACTGTATGTTTAAAAGGGGTAAAAAAGTTAATGAAAATTTAACCATGTGTCCGAGACAGACTCATGTTTAGTTACTGCACAGCTCTCATATTGCTTTATCTCGGAAGTTTTATTTGAATTGTTTTAATATAAATGTTTTTAAAAATGATTCAATTTGATATTATTCACCATTAATAACAAAAAAAGAAGAGATTCACCATTAATAAAAAGTTGTATTATGGCAATGCCAACCAGCCAAACACCGTTGTTACACAATCTGTGTTACTCTCTTTTGGAACTTAATCAGACAAAAATTGCCAAAATCGTAGATCTCCCAAACCATCTTCTATCACACGATTATTGAATTATCACCAAAACCCACTTCTGATTTCTAAAATCAGAGGTAGTACGGAAAAAGCAGAATATATAAAAGAACTTAGTAGCACCTAACATATATTCCATTAACAATTTATGAACTTATAACACTGTTACTGTGCATATGATAGTTCAAAAAAAGTAGCTGAATTAACTCTGTTTTAAAATAAAATACTTTACATATAATTGTCAGTGATTTGTCACTGATAAAAATTTAAATGTGCAAAATGGAATAATTCAGGCAACTTCTTTGATTGCCATTCCAAGCGTTCTGCTACTTTTTAAATCTTAGAACTAAAATTCTTTCGTTAAAAAAAAAGAAAGATTTTTATTCTGTTTGGTATGTGTGTGCTTACTATATTTACTTCTATACATTTACTATTACCGTCGTTTAAATTTAAGAGAAACTACTTATAATCGACTTTCATTCACAATATGTTCGCTAATCATGATGTATTTACGCAATTACATTTATAAGTGGAATTTATGATTAACATTAAAAAAAAAATCTTATTTGTACTTAATCATAATTAATTGAATGAAAGTCTTCCCATGGAGAAAAAGATCTTGGCTAATAGCCCATTGTTGAAAATCAGTGACTCTTAAGCCAATGCGTGAAAGGGAAATTGTATTCGATTAGCCTCTCACTTATCGATTCAAGTTGATTATTGAATCGATATTATTGATGGGAGATTCTTATACCTTGTAACATAATTATTTAGCATTACTCCATCATTAAATTTACATAAACCTTTCTGATTCAGCTTTAGTTAATTGTGTTGGGCTTAACTCTTCCCTTTCATTACATTTGGAGGTTTGTTATCTCCTTTTGACGTGTCGAATAGTGTGAGGTTATAAATTGTTGCTTGTCAAACCATTGCATACCAATTCAGTCTTTGGGATGACTTATTTAAATAATTGTCCTCCTAATGATCAATTGTAGATCATAAATCTCTTTGTTCATTACTTCATTGCATTTTAAGTTTTGCCGTGCACATGCACCGTTCAAGGTTTTTAGACGGATGTATACTTTCCCATTGAAAGAGCTCTTCAGTAACATCTCAACTCAGTACTTGAAAAATATAAGGGGGTCTAAGCCAGCGGTTCTTAAGTGGTGTTCCGCGAATCCCTTGGGTACCCTCCCGAAAAGAACAAAGGTGGATTCTCGGCTCGGGAGAATACCACCCCTAGATATTTGTTCCCCCTTAGATAATTAAATTGTATTTAAACTTCAATACTCATTATTTGATATTTATTAAGTTTTCTGTGTTTTATCTCACATTATATCTTATAAATGTTTACTTGAGCTGTACACCACAGCATACTATTTCAGCCACCAACTGCCACATTTTACTCCGAATATCTATGCTATTTAGTCCCCGTTGCCCTAGGGCAAATTACAGATTTAGAAGTTGAAGAAGTCTTCGCCGATTACCATATCAAGTGTCAAGCCTTGGGTATCGCGTAAGATTTAATGGGGACCAAGAGTTAGGACATTTGTTAAGCAGTTCTTTTCCATTTTTTTAAAACCTGTTATTATATTTAAATCTCATCCATTTTTTATTTAATATTCCGGTTGTTTTTGCAAAATTGTTTAAGGTAAAAAGATATAATTTTTCTATTAATAATGCATTTATGTTTCCCATCGCACTTTTAAAATCAAAATAAAATATATGAATTCTTTAACAAAGATTTATGTTTCCCCAATAATCATTTTCAACATTTAAAAAAAATTTTTTTTTTCTTCTAGTTTTCTTTAAACAGAAAAATATTAATTCGACTTATTTCACTCATTTTCAGCTTCTGTGTTTGCGTCAAAAAAAAAAAAATTGATTGCTAGACTAATTTCAGCTCCTTTATTGCAAATTCAACTGACGGACACAAAACCTAATTTAAGAAAGAATCCATACTTCTAAATATTTTCAAAATGAAGAATTTATTTATTGGTTATTTCTTTCACAATTGTTTTAACTGATTAACATTTCACTGATTGTTAACATTTTATTTATTTAATTGGGGTTCCAGGGAAAGAAGGTTGATCGTATAGGATTCCATGGTCGAAAAAAAAACTAGGTTTCATGAAGATATTTCGAGCAGATATGTTGCCACTTTATAGAGCGTTTATTTTGATTATTTTAATTTTATTCAAACTATTTTAATAAATTTGCAATATTTTAAATTGTTTTTTAATAACAAAAAAACAACGTTGATCCAAGTAATAATCGCCAACTTGGCAAGATTTCAAAAAAGTCGCCAACGGGTGGGCTATTCTAGGATTCCCCCCTGAAGTGCAACACCAATGAACTATATCAAAAATTGAACTGTTATCGAAAAAAAACAATCTATGAACGAGAACAGCTATAAGAGATATTTCTGGAACATTACATAATAAGTACACTACCTCAAACCTCTTTTAATTGTGGAACAAATGAAATAGTTCCAAGCATTAACCCTATCCTATCAGATTTAACATAGCTATTTCGCGTAAACTTTCCTCTAACTCGGCAAGTAATGCGGAAGGGAAAATAAAAATTACGATGAAAACCAGTTGAATTATGCAAAACTTCAACACCTCTCTTTAATAAAAGGTTAATCGATTATTTGTAACACAACCAAAATCCACATACAGACAAAATAAGCCATTAATAAGACAAGGAAATCCGATTATTCTCACGATAAAATGACAGAGCAAATAAAATAGAATAAATAAAAAAGTGCTGGCAAAATATTGCTCCAAGCAAACTTTTTTTTAATTTTTATTCCTCATTCTTTACAATTTCAACATCATGTGAACTTTGTTAAAACGCGAATAAAATTCGTAAACGGATGTGAGCGCAAATAATAAGTGCCCCAATTCTTTATAGATTGGATAACAAGTGTTAAATGTCTTTGTTAAAAGCTTAAGAGAAACAAGTTAACGTATCGCTTTGGTCTTTCTTTTTTAAGAGTCAAATCGATTTCGGAGAAACGCTAGTTTTGAGGTGACGATTTTCAAAATACAACGAACCCATTTGCACCATGAATTCATTTTTAAAGAATACCCATTTGTTAGGATAGGATTTCGGTTATTTGAATACCCTTAAAAACTTATCTTAATAGAGATGAAAACTCAAATTTTT